CTCATCAAGACACTGCGCGCGGAAAAGAAGCGAAATAAATGGCCACAGTTCACTGCGCTGGCTACAGTTCACAGCGCTGATCACGGTTCTCTGCACTGCTGTTCACCGACTGTACCGCTGTTCGCCGCAATGCACAGCTTAGCTTCCACTTCAGACTGCTAGCGGCGAATTTCCGGAACTTACGTCACTTTTCTACTCGACTCGCCAACAACCCGGAACAGTCCAGTTTGGGGACGCCGGCAGATGAAGCAATCCGCGCAGAGGTTTCTGGCAGATGATGTATTCGTTACAATATTATGCCGCAACCGCCCACATGGAAACACTCGAGGCCAATTTCCTTCCCTTTGAATAGCTCACTCAATTCACCCAAAACTAAATATGATTTCACACAAAGTGGTAATTGAATTCACAACCCATTTAATTACAATATGGGTGTGAAATTTAAAATGATTTACATCTTTTCAATTCACTCCAAATAAATATGTTCATGTGGTGAAGAGTAAGAACATACAAAAGGTGATGATAACTTGGCACATTTCCCTCCTATTCATATGGCGTTTAATGCCCTTTTCCCATGTGCCCAATGCCCATGAGGGCGAGGGGGGCCTGAAGATTTCTCGGACAACGTCGGGCCGGACACAATCTTCCGCTGTAGTGAGCGATGATTGAGAGGAATAGAAAGAAAAAATGAATCTACCCTCTCTAGGATTTGATAACCTATGATAAAATAATAATAACCAAACAAGCATAGCTCTTTGGTATTGTCAGTTGTTTACTTTAATGATTAGATTCAGTACAATGCATTGGCTCGTAGAGCGTATCACAAACAAAATTAAACATATCAACCTTTGGACAACTAGAAAATGAATTCATAACGTTATTAATATGTAATAATGTCATAAATTATAAATCTGAAATAATTATTTTGAATTTTCAATTCACCCTAACTAAACATAATATTGCACAAGGCGGTATTTGAATTCACATGTCATTTAATTAGGGTAGGTGTGCATTCTCAAATTAACATCAAACTTTCAATCCACTTAATTCTAAATGTGATTTTACATAAAGTGATAGTCAAATTCACAAACCTTTTAACTACAATGTGGGTGTGAATTCCCAAATAATTACCATAATAATTTCAATTCACTCCAAATCAAATATATTAATGTTATGAAAAGTAAAATCTCACACAACGCGATGTTTGCATTGACAAGTCATTTAACTACAATGTGAGTCTGAATTATGAAATGAACACTGACAAATTTTCAATACATCAAAACTTAATCTGATTTTACACAAAATGATGTTTGAATTCATAAACCTTTTAACTACAATGTGGGTGTGACTTATTAAATTATTAATAACAAATTTTCAAATCACATAAATAGATGTTTGAAGCCACAAACCATTTAACTTTAATGTGGGAGTCAATTCTGAAGTAATTACAATAGAAATTTCAATTCATCAAAACCTAAAATGATGCCACACACATTGATGTTTGAATTCATGAACCATTGAACTACAATGTGGATGTGAATACCCAAATAATTACCATAATAATTTCAGTTCACTCCAAATGAAATATTTATAAAGTTATGAAAAAGAGGAACTCACACAACGCGATGTTTGCATTCACGAATCATTTAACTACGATGTGAGTATCAATTATCTAATGAACAATAACAAATTTTCAATCATCAAAACATAACCTGATTTCTCAGAAATTGATTTTTGAATTCACAAACTATTTAACTACAATGTAGGTGTGAATTATCAAATGACCAATACTAAATATCAATTTATCCAAACAAAATACAACTTCTTACAAGGTGATATTTGAATTCATATATCATTTAATTAGAATGTGGGGGGGATCCTAAAATAATTATAGTAATAATTTGAAATATTTCAAAATAAATTTGTTCATGTGATGAAGAGTAAAATCGCACATGAGGTTATAAATGAATCCACAAATTATCTAATTACAAAAATCACATTTCACGTCACTCGCAATAAAATATTCGTGTGATGAAAATCAGGATTTGATGCAAAATATTTGAATTCACAATTCTTTTAATCACAATGTGGATTATTATTTAAACCACCCATGTAGGCGGATTTACCAGAAATCGGTCACTAAATATAATTCCTTTGTTTCACTTAGGTGATCAACAGGGCGGCCATATACCTCGTCTAACCTGACCATGCGTCTCGGCGCCAGACACATCTGCCCTATCTAAATAAAAACGTCTTTTTTCCACTGCGCGGCGCCTTCCGCTTGACCACCACCGCCATGACGATCTTCCATCAACTTACCTATCGTACCGCTTTCCAATCCGCAGAGCAGCCTATTGTGTCACCTCACTCCAACCAATGGCGTGCCGCCCTAATTCCGGGGTCTGATGCCGAAAATCTATGGGTCATTCCTCCGTAGCGCCCTCTAACGGAATGGTATCCCACACGCTTAGTAAGCACAGTTTTTTTTAATTTTGACGTTTGGTCTGCCCGTCACTTAGTTGGTAAGGGTTGTTTTGTGGGGCTGGTAGGAGCTTCGTCACTCTCTGTGGCGAGTGCCCAGGGGTCAGTCGGTAGGGGTTGTGACGTAATGTTACCCGTCCAGAAACCGGGTATCTGACCGCTCAACACTTCTGGTAAGAAACGTCGAAGATTTTGGACGTGCATAGAGAGATAGGTCAGTGAGAAGTGTGAGACTCCATTTTGTAGAAAATACGGTGCGAAGTAATTGTTCATGCGAAAGAATAGTAGGATAGCGGAAAATTCAGCCTTGTGAACTGTGATTAACTAGGCGAAGTATAATATTTAATGAAGACTATGGAAAGACGTGGAGTAACTAGTACGATGCGGAATAGTGGACGTGAAAGCGAGAACTTAAGAGCTGTTGCGAGGCGTCAGCAAAACCGTGCACTTAGCTACACCAGTAAGAAGTGTTGTAAAGATACGTATAGCAAACACAAGTTAAGAATTTGATATACGCGGCGGCGTGACGCATAGGAACAGCGGCGAAGAAAGAAGAAGAGGCGAGGTTTCTGGTGCCGGGCGTGGCCAAGAAGCAAGACGAAAGATGATTTGGACGTGGATCCGGTGGCAGGAGAGAGAATAAGGCATTTCGAGAAACATCGCGGACTGCTGATTTGCGAGGGAGGAAGCGACGACGGTGCGGTCGGAATTAGGCCTAGGTCAGAAGCAGCGGTTACGTCGGGACGCCCGGAGGTCGGCATACCCAGCTGCACCGCAAACGCCGGACAAGGTAACGAGAATATTTGTAACGGGAATTGAGAGCAGGCGGTGCAGAGAACGCAGAAGTGCAGTGACTGAAAGGGAGAAATCAAGAGAAATTGTAATAATAAATTAGAATTTATGGCGGTCAGTATTGATAAGGAGAACCGTAAAAAAACCTGCAATTAACTCTTCCCACATCCAACACTACCAAGTTTTCCTTCTCTCACATTTTGTCCCTTCAGCATTATCGTCTCTCCGGCATCAGATGCTTCCAACAACTCTTCCTGCATCATCATCTGATATCTTATAACTACTACACATTCTTATTATCAGTTATCACTCTCATAAACAATGTCGCCACGTCTGGAGCCCATTTTTCGTCATCACATCCCTCCGTTTGCACACCCGCCCGGCATTCCGCCCCTCCGGCATCCATCCCTCCGACATTCGCCTCTCCGGCATCGCTTCCCCAGTCCATCCATCCGACATCCTTTCCTCCGGCATTCTCCCTTCCGGCATACGCCCTTCCAGCATCCGCCCCTTCGTCATCCGTCCCACCGGCATCCGCCCCTCCAGCATCTGCCCCTCCAGCATCCACCCCATCGGCATCCGCCCTTCCAGCATTCGCTAATCCGGAATCCCGTACATCCAGCAACCGCCACCCTCGCATCCCACTCCTCGTGCATACTGCACCTCTGACATCCCGCCCTTTTTACATACGGAGCGTCCTCCCTCGCCCGCTGCCCCGCCTCCAGCCGAGCGCCGCCTCCACTGCGAGGGCGGCCGCCGACAGCAGCAGCCCAACGCCCAGCAGCAAGAAGTGCACCTGCACGTCCTCCGGCCCGAAGCGCAGAGGGTCGTCAGTGGGAGGCGCGTCCTCCGTTACATTTCTCCACATTTCCATATCCATCCGCGTGCCTATCTCCCGTAAGTAGACGTCTTTCCAGTGCAACACGATGCCCACGTCCACCAAGCGGCCGTAGATTCTCTCCATCTTCTCCTTGAAAGGCCATTTTCTGCAAAAATACATTATTTATAAAGAATACAAACACATTTTCGCATGAAAGAGCATTTCAGAGAGGTGATGGAAAACACGATCACTGGGTGAATGTTCAGGATTACAGATGTCTATAAATATAACACGCAACTTCGTAATTATTCATTAGGTATCAGATTCGACAGCTGCCTTAAAAAGTCTCTTACATTGTTTTATAGTAACACATTATTAAATAACATTAAAATGTTAAAATCGTCTCATAAGTTTAAGTGATACGTTAAATATTTTCTGTTGCATAAATGTTTCTACACAGAAGCTACACTGAGTATCAAAAACATTAAATAAAGAACTACAAAAGAGATTGACAGAAGTACCACTTTTCGTTCAAGCACAAATACAGTCCGTAACACACGGGTCTCTTAACGTTATATTTCGTAATAGATCTGTCGTCAAGGATTCTAAAACGATGCGTCCTAGTTCACGAATATCCTAATAAAACTTACAGTTTTCGGCTGTCACATTATCCACAGGCAGGACAGACGCGTCTGTCTATCTGTCTGTCTGTCTGTCTGTCTGTCTGTCTGTCTGCCTGCCCGCCTGCCTGCCCGCCTGCCTGCCCGCCCTTCCGTCTGTCCTTCCGTCCGTCCTTCCGTCCTTCCGTCCTTCCGTCCGTCCGTCCGTCCGTCCGTCCGTCCGTCTGTCGTCTGTCCGTCATCTGTCCGTCCGTCTAGCCGTCCGTCTGGCCGTCCGTCTGGCCGTCCGTCTGGCCGTCCGTCTGTCCGTACGTCGGTCCGTCCGTCGGTCTGTCCGTCGGGCTGTCCGTCGGGCTGTCCGTCGGGCTGTCCGTCAGAGCATATAGTTAATGAAGTTGTGAAGTTAATGAATATGTCTTCTGCTATAAATGCTCTAAATTTTTTCCTGAATGTTTTTCTCAAATAGAATAAATGATTCTTCACACATTGTGTCTGTCCCATTTACGTTTAACTCTCTTAGTTTTTGAAAATTGAAAAAGTTAGTAATTGTACGGGAAAGTGGGTTGATTTACACATCAATGTTTTTAGAAATTAACAACTAATTGCAATTTGTAAGTATATACTCATAGATCGTTCTCAATTTGGGACAGAAACGCTGCAGTGGAACTCTAGCGTGGTCGATCAACATTTCCCCTGAGTTTTCTTTGGCGGAAACGTTCCACTTGTGGCTAGGCTGTGCACTTGTGAAGTTACTAGAATAACACTTTTTAAACAATAAATGGTTAAGGTAAATTCTAGCTGTTTTTTTTATTTGTTGAGTCAACTTAGACGCAACGCGTTTCAAAACCTCTTAGAGGCGCTTGGAGTTACTCTCCATTAATTGCTGCGCGGGAGTAATCCTGAATTAATTAGTCCGTCACGTCTCGTCTCAGTCAGTTGTCCGCCAGATAACATCTTCGGCGTACGCGCCTCTCTCTTACACGCGCTCGTTAGTCACTACCAGAATTGGGAAGGAACAAGGATTGAGGTAAGGTTTAGGAAGATTCACAGGAGTTGGACTAGCGCCTGTGAAGCAGGCAAATTATTTTTGTCGTAACAAATTTCACATGAAATTCTATAGGATTTTTACGGTAATCGAATCCGAAACCTCAGTGGTCAAAGGCAAGTGACTTCGCCATTGAGCCACGAGAGCATAGTTTTAAAAAATGAGTGCCAAAAAATGTTTATATATGCCAAAAATATGAGAACTAAAAATCGAGCAAAAAGTAGAACAAAATGAATTAGATATCTCACGACTTATGTGCTCGAACCTCATGTATTAGATTAAAAACTTTGTGATAAAAGAATCTACTCTCTGTGCGGTTGTATTACCTCATAAATGACATATCGTTTGATCTGAGATATGTTTTGAATATCAAGTTATTTTGTTGTTTTTATAGCTAAATTGTTGGAGCAAAACATTTATATAAGGGACATTTTTGCAACCGAAAATATTTTCCAAACGCATTCTTTTTCCCATTCTTCTGTTGACACTCGCAACGCAACGAGAGGCATCAATTAGGAGGAGAAAGGGCAAATAGAGTGAGAATAGCTGGGGGAGAGGGGAAGTAAGAGTGAGGGAAGAGAGAAAGAACGAGGGACAAAAAAAAGAAGCAATAGAGTAGCGAGAGAGAAAATGATAAGCTTTGAGCGTGAAGAGGAGAAGAAAGGGAGGGGAATGGAGGGGTGGAAAGATGGAGGGAAACAAGGAGTGAGGCAGGGTAGATAAAAGGGTAGAAATGGGAGATTGAGAGCGAGAGGGGAGAGGAAAGGAGAAGAGAGAGTGATGATACTCAGAAGAATGAGATGGGGATGGAAGAGGGAAGGGAGATAGAGGATGATGAGAACGGGAGAGCAGTCGCTATTCGGGAGAGGAATGGGAAGAGATTAAGGAATAGGGTGACGGGAGGGGGAGGTATAACGGGATGGGGGAGAGGAACCGCTGTGGGGCATCTCGAAATAACGCAGCTCGCGTCACGCGCCGATTCGTAAACGAGATTTTATAGAAGTCACCGTCATATGGCGACATTTGCACTGTCGATAGAATATATAAATTAATATATGGCGATAAAAAATCTCAGGATTACGACCGACACTTCGGCAACACTACGCAGGATGCGGTATTTCTCAGGCAGTTCTCAGATAGTCAACGCATTAGAGTCACGTGTTGCTTTAAACACAGACCTTAAAAAATCAATCAACTTTTTATACTCACCTTCTAAGAACATTGGACTTCATAGTTGGGAGAATTTGGGCCCTCATCTCATGTATATTGTTCCAAATACTCGAGAGTGCTTGCCGATATTTAAGCCTATTGTCAGTATTGTCATCCACTAAGGCAAACCGGGTGTTTCCTTTAAAGAGATTGGCTGCTTCGTCTGTAGAATTTATTTTTTTTGTCGTCATCTCAACTGCTTTCTGGCGATACAAACCATCTTCAAGGATGTCAGCGTGAAGATTAGCGCTCAGAAAATAAGTCAAATAATCAGCGTTTATTCCATATATCGTCATGTTGGATTCTACAAGTTGCTTAAAGGTGTCGATTTCTTCAAAGAATTCTGGATGAGTCGTCAAGGTATAGAGCCGCCCCTGCAAGATGAGAAAAATATCCTTGAGTTAAGATGATCTCAAATTCGAGTTTTATGTTAATGATTATGCATAAGTAAACAAATTTTTCAGTCTTGTAATTATTGTTATCCTTATACAAATTACTATGGCAGGACGAAGAAGAGGTGGTAAGACAGAGATTCAAATACCTGGTATAGTGAAGAAAAATGCAGGAATAGAGGAACACGTAAATAAAAGGATAATTAGAGATTGGACAAAATTAAGTGAGTAGCAGGGGTATTGTGCAATCGCCGAATACCAAAACGCCTTAAAGGGAATGTCTACAAAACTAGTGTGCCCTTCCATATTTTACGGTGCAGAATGTTGGACAAATGCGAAAAGAGAAGGACAATAGTTGCACGTAGCGGAGACGAATATGCTGTGGTGGATTTGTAGAGTGACGGCGAAATGACAAAATCAGAAATGATCAGACAAACTGTGATGTTGAGGTCGATAGTAGGTAAATTTCAAGAGAGGCGATTTCAGTGGATTGTGCTTGTTATGAGAGTGCGATGCTCACTAGTAAAGTGGAAACAATAGAGAATGGGAAACAAGCATAGAGACGCCCAAAGAAGAATTGCAAAAATAGTGTTAGGGAAGATATGTATCAAAATAGTATTACAATGAAAATGGCACGACAGAAAGTAGTGGAAAGTAGCGATCGAAAAAGCCGACTCCAGCTAACTGGGATAAGGTGTAGAAGAAGAAGAACAAGAAGAATGAATTAATTTTATAATATTTCTTGGAAGTAAATAAAGATCCTGAAAAAAAATTCGAAATACATGTTAGTGTTTACTTTCTCGACGAAGAGAAAGTCTTATAAAGCTGCAGATGCAATTGCTGCTGCTTTCAAAGCTGCGAATGTTGCAGTTTTTCATTAGAAAACCTCGAATTCTGGGACCACAATATCTAAAAATTTATATATCTTGTTCTGATGATTTCTTTACAAAATTGATATTCCAAAATCGCTCTAAGCGAAGTCAACGCTCTGCCACTTTTTGAAGCACATTTTTATTTTCGGGCTACTTCACAGGACGCCTCAACAATTTCAAAATTTTCTCGATAATGTCTCCACAGTTTTCGATGAAACTTTTCCTCGGATATCGTAATGGGCGCCTAAAAATGGCACAAGTCTCATTTTCGTTGTAATCGCTGAATTGCGAAAATTGCAAAAGTTAAATTTTGGTGATAGACATTTTTTGGTTATTGGAGTTTCTTCAAAGACAGATAATTTAGTAAGATCCCCAAAAAATTCGAAAATATGAGATTTAAAGTAATTTGGCTTCAAATACTGGCAATTTTTTAACACTTATTAAACAAAACAATCCAAATATTGCTTCATAATGTACCCCATAAAAACAATTCCTCTAAAAGCCGTTGTTCTAATCTGAGTGCGCATTAATCTCCCTACACTTCCCTTGTTGGTCTTACCGACGTCTCATGAACTATCAGTCTAATCGTTGGAATTAAACGCAACACAATATGCTGTGTTCAGATAATACTCTAGTAAAAAATATATAGAACAATATATTACAAGTGATAACACGATTTCTTTTAACAGTAGTAATGCGCTGCATGCATTTATATTTGGCATATTTAATTACTTTATTCACTATATCGCAAATGAGCAACGGTTTATTTGCGTTTCATACGAAAAGCTTGCTTCCAAATGTGCTTGTCCGGTACATGGGAACGACCATTTCCTAAAACGTTGTTGAAAAATTGAATGTTGTTTTAATAATGAATTTTTTTAATTATTTCATTTATGTGTTAATATTTACAAGAATAACAAAAAGTATTAATTTCAATAAATCAACAGAGCATAGTGTAATAAGAATGTCATAAATAATATTAGACTATTAAAGTCTTGTTAATAAAAAATAAATGGCGGGGATAAAAGTACTTGAAAATAATAGATGAAAATATTCAATTTACATGTCGGACAATGGTACAACAACAACAATAACAATAATAATAATAATAACAATAATAATAATAACAATAATAACAATAACAATAATAACAATAATAATAATAATAATAATAATAATAATAATAATAATAATAATAATAATATTTTCCACCTAACCAATTTAATCTACATTGCTACAGTTTGAATGCGTCACAGGACGCTCACTAGTTGTTTATTTCAGTCACGGATAGTTGCAATTCCGAAAGATCCGCTATAAACCTTTTGTGACGTGATACACAAATCAAGGCTGAATCACGAGCTCACAATATATTCTAAATTACTTCCTCTAACACATTGTGTAGTCAGAAACAGTACATGTAAGAGGTAATTAAGATTGGAAGGACGTTTTAAGACCAAACTTAGTCTGCCTCCCTAGATTCTGCCTTTTTTGCATTGGGCCACTACCAATAGCCGTGTGAAAAGCATGGTACCGCTTACATAGCTCTCCATCTCAATGAAACATCATACTTTTGCACGGGCAGTGCAAGGCGATATCCGAAGGGGAGGATTTTAAAAACTTGCCAACTGAAAAGTAACATTGCTAAATTACAGTTATGATGCCAGAGTTTTTCCGAAATTGAATAGTATGTTCTTCAAATCCAAATCATTATATAATGTCAATGCAAATCTCTGAGTTTTGAAAATTGCAAATGCAAATGTTCAAATGTTCATTTAATTTTTTAAAGCATCCAGATGGTTGAATTTTGCTGTGAAGGTGGTTGTCGAGGTGTAACGCGAAAAGCGTGCTAACTCCTCGAAGAAAAGGAATTAGAATCCCAGCGTGGAGAACAAAATTCGCTGGTGATGAACACTTTTGCAGTTTCATGCATTATACATTAATTTTTTGTTCAGATCCGAACTATCTTCACAGACTTCTCTATTAACATTAGTTGAATTGAGAATAAAATTTAGAATAAGTGTCGCTGAAACAGTTTGATAACCATAAATAAATTCTGCAATATCTTAGAGTAATAGTTGATATAAAAATGTCCTGTCGTCGAAATAGTCCACCTCAGGCGAGAGAAGTGTCTTTCGCTACTAACGAAAAGAAGGCTCAAGAAAATGTTCGCGTGAACAGAGAGACGGACGCTTAAAAGAAATGGCACAGGTCATAGACTTAACTCAAGAGAAAAGTTTTCTCTTCAGTTAAGTTTGTGTTCGTATTTCATTTTTGTTTTTAGCTTGATGATGAGGAAGGGATATTTAATTAAAAGGACTATCTCCTCTTCTCTCGCAAGAACTGTTAATATACATATTTGAAATTTACCTGATGCCGTTTTATTTGTGAACATAAGTAACCTCACGATTACAACTTAGTCTGTCCATATCTCATTGGCCAATAAAAAGTGTATGTATTCAAGTAGTGACGAACACTTATGGCATTAAAGAAAGATATTTAAATAGTATTTTATATGTGCGAAGCTTTAGGCAACGCGAGCGCAGAAACAGCTTACGTACGTTTTCGCAGTTCGTATCAGATATCGTACGAGAGATTTCTATAACAGGAGTAGCTGAACGTCGACTCAATGATTTCTTCTGCCAACACACGTCGCGATCTCCGGAAAAAATCTCGTCGTACTCCCTTTTCACGAGCAGCACAGTTCGACGACTTTCTACTAACTCCTCCCTACTTTTGGAGGGGCTTTGTCTCGAAATTTCGAAATTTGCATGTAGAAGATCTACGATTATTGTAGGTTCAAAATGTATGTTTTCGATTTTTTTGTGACTTGCACAATTTTTTAAAGGTTGAGTAAAACTTCGGGAAAACTGATTTTCGATTTCCGTCTTCGTCCGTGAGAGTTGGCCGATACTTTTTACAGACTGTTAAAACTCGGACTGATTGTGAGCAAAATAATGACAGGTACGAAGTATCGAAATTTAATACAGGTGAGCTATTCTAAGTTAGTCAAAAGTCAAAATATTAATTCGCGATATCAATTTGGGTGACTTGGGCAAAAAGGTTCGGCAAAGTTGTGCAAAACATGGGCGAAGTACGTTTGTATATGTCATTAGGTTTGTCCCTTTGTCTATAAACCTCCTTTATAAACTCATTCATTGTAATGGATGTACCAATTCAGGTTGTGGCGTCCCCGTTCACGCACCTGGTAGAGGGCCACCACGACGATGGCGGAGGTGAGCAGCGCGGCGGCCAGCTGCAGGCGTTGCGGCGTGGCGCGCACCCTGTCCTGCGGGGAACCCCCGCACGAGGACAGGGCGCGCAGCGCGGCGGCCACGCTCGCGCCCAGCGCCTCGCCCGCCACGACGCGCCACGCCAGCGCGTACGCCGCCGCCACGGCCGCCAGCAGCGCCCACAGCGTGGCCGGGAACGTCCGCACGAGCAGTGTCCACGCCGGCAGCGGCGGAGCGCGGGGAACCAAGACGGAGCCGTGCCACCATTCCACACTCGACTGAATCATGTCCAAACTCTGATGAAGTGCGCCGGAGGGCATTACGTGGTGAGGTGTAAACTCTATGAGACCAGCAACAAGACAGAACTCTATTCGGTCGCTTTTAGAAATGTTTTCTGGTGAATGAAATTGGATGCTCTGAAAAAAATGAAATGAACTACAAACAGAAAACGACAACACAGAAGTAGGCAATAATGTATATATATTGATTAGTACATGCATTTTATCCATCATATTGCTGTTAACAATATCTAATACACAGTCCAGTCAGGCGAGACGTGCAGGCAGGGATTCAATTGGGTTTTGGATGGTACTGACAGGGATATGGAGCTATCTCCTCTGCTCCTCGGTTGAAATCTACCGCGTGTATGTTCACTAATAAACATACTGGTCCTTCGAGAAACTATTGTTAGTAATTGGTCGAGCTGGCATATATTATAGCCATCTCCGAAATAAGTCCATTGCTTACATTTGCTAGCTCGTCAAGTTTTGTATGACTATAAATAATTTACTCAAATGTTCACCCAAAGGATATTTCTTCAAAAATGCTTGTCTACCGTATTTAAAAGGCCATTTACGTTTCGCGACGATGTTTCCTTGAATAATGTTAGCTGTTTTATAATAATGTAGGTAAAACTGAGTTTATAATACGTTGAGGTTTGAAGCAATTTTTATATTCGCTAGATTATTTTCGTTTGTTTAAATAAATATGTTTTAGTTGTAAACATTAAGTAATCACTATCTGATTACTTCCCTTTCGCTATCGATTATATGATCATTTTCTGTTGAAAATTGCCATTTTTTCTTTTTTTTTAGAAGTAGTTACAAGAAAGTAAAATTAATATTGGTCTACAGAGCTCAGAATCCTGATGTTAGAGTATACAGGGAACCATAGTGAATACGCGGCTTCATAATAGAAATTAATATGACAGATGGCTTCAGTACATATTAGAACATAATATCTTTGAAACTTACTTTTCCGTTTCTATAATATGTCTTCAGATCAGTATTTACCCAAAATACATTCATATGTTTACTTAGCACATTCAATAATTCTAGGAACACATCAATACTCATTTTGGGCCGATGAATATCGAAATATGTGTACATTGCCGTTTTTCGAGCAGCCTGTGAACAAAGTTAGAAATATAATATTTCTATCCGATCATCATCAATAACGTAATATTTATAAACTATTGCACCTATTGAGAAACAAAAAATTCTACAATATGAAATATGTTTGAATGACGTTTTATACATGTCCCGGAAGTTATTCCTACTATTTCATCCAAACTCAAAATAAAATTCTCATAATGTGTTGCTAATTTGCCGTTGTTGAGTCCTACAAAATTCAAATATGCCACGGCCTGTTTTCGAACATATTACTGCGACGGAAGTCAGAAAATCAATTGTGTTCGCTTATTAAAATATTAATACAAAGTTATCAGCAGAATTTTACGGTTTCCACACGCTCATAAAGAAGATTATATCAATACCTCAATTAGAATAGCACTATGAATAAAATCTCATCTTCTGCTTTGCCTAATATTTATATTAATGACACCATCCTACATTAGTGTTCCGAAGTCAAGAACCTAGGTGTAGTTGTCGACAACACTCTCAATTGGAACTCGCAAGTAGATTCAACCTGCCGTAAAGTTTTTACCTCTAATTCATTCACTGAAACGCCTGCGAACACATTTACCAAGTTGTACGCGTGAGACTCTCATCAAATCACAAATTATGCCACATTTCGACTATTGCGTTTTTCTTCTGACCAACATGACATTCAAATTACAACGTAAACTTCAAGTAGCCCAGAACGCCTGCGTATGGTTTATTTTTGATCTAAGAATATACGACCGTATATTTGATTTTTGGACAGAATTCGTATGCTTATTGTAGACAAAAGACGGTTACGCCACTCTCCACTTCTTCTTTATAAAATTTTAAACAGTTCGCAAGTAACTTCAATCCTCTGAAACTAAATCAAGCTCGTGAATCTGCTCTGCTTTGGGAACTACTCCACAACAAACTTCGTTCAGTAGATCAATCATATTACAGCTATCCGAGTCTGGAATATATTACCAGTGAGTCTAAAACATTCCAATACGTTTCGTAAATTCAAAAATGAATTAACCATATGGGAAAAGAATAACGAAGAAAATGGCGTTAACGTCTTCTTCAAACTCCAGAATTTTTCCACTTCCAAGCGCACGGTCACCGCTCTCGTAAACCACCGCTCTCTATTCTGAAGTAGAAGATTCACTTGATAGGCATAACAATGCACGTAATTTGCATTTGGCTAATTTTCTTTTATCAAACGCTGCGCACCCCAATTTTGCCCACTAATGACAGCAGCCCCATCATAGGTTTGGGCAATACGTTTTTAAGGCGTTTTCCTAATTCCTAATATACGTAGCTGTTCCGTAATCTTGTTGTCTACATCCTTCCCACCTCTCTCAATCACTTGAATAAAGCCCAGCCAAGTTTTACATGAATTATGATCAGATAAATTCACATTATCTGTTGTTTCATCACTTTGTATATACACGTATTCTTCCTCATATATTTCATGTGCAATACATTTTTGGCAAATTTTGAAAATGACAACCAGTGTATCGTTTTGAATTGTCTTTGACATTCGTTTTCCATTTTCCAAATGAGTTTTTAAAATGTTATCAAAAGTTGATGAATGTTCTGATTTTTATCATTGATGTTTCTTTGTTGAACAGAATCAAAAAGAACTGACACTGACCAGTGACCCTTGAAGATTCCTGGGTTATTCGATTCTTCCCTTTCGTCATGACCACGCAAAGCTAATTAAAAATCGCCACAAAATTTTCTTGCATCAATCATGAAACTTAAAATGTCCCTAGTTGAGTGTACAAGTTCATTATGTTTGTGTATAAAAATCCTATATGAGTCATCATTGCTCATTAATACTAATTTTCCCCAGAACATTTAAGTTCATTTCATTGTTCAGGGCGGTTTCCGAGAGAACATGTTTGTTTACATTTCCCAGGTAAATGCTTGATATCTTTAATGCCACTCTTAGTGCACATTTCGTCGCCGCCGAACAGAAGACAAGGAAAACAAAAAAATGTATTTCGTCCTGGCATACGCAAGTCCACTCCCATTTCTCATACACTGATTTATTAAATTTTCTACTATACGACCTATTTTTATCACTGAACACTTGCTTGATGCAAAAGTCTGGTTTACGTGGGCCTAATTCTTTAACTAAAATTCTGTTTTCATAATTTAATTTCATGATATGAGAATGCCTTACTGCATGTTGTTGGTCTCGACATTCACAATAACACTATGCAACAAGAACTGAATTACTATAACGTCAAAACACTTGCAAAAAAAAAGAAAGTATTCTAACTCATGTATTGGGGTCGTACCGAATGGACACTGCCGCGCTTGTGGACTGCAGAACTGGCGGCGCCGTCACACAGAATTTGTGACCTGTGCGTACCATGTGCTTGTACTACCCCCGATGAAATCCCGCCGTTTTACGAAGACAGCCGCCAACAAACTGCGAGGCAATCGGCACGGGCTTCCCGTGAGCAAAGCCCTGTTGCCAGGTCTCATACAGATGCCTTTACTGAATCTCGCTCATTTCCTCAGAGCAAAAATAAAAATGGCGCGCTCATATTCATCAAGTTGCAATAGTTCATATAGCAATATAAAGAATTTTAAAATAGTATTACTTAGGGACACGTGACCATGTGACCTTACGATAGAGCCGCCTCTGAATACATGCATGTATGTACATTCGCGCAATAATCTCTGACAAGGACTAGGACTACCAGCTGCGTCCCGATCTTGCGGCCATGGGTTCAGTAGTACGTGTGGTTAGCAGATAGACACCCCTACGCCATATTTTGGTCTTCTCAGCCTGAGAAAGAGGTTTCTCATCGTCACACAGCAACGTATACTGGGATATTGCAAGGAAAACGCACTCATATCTTGCCCGATCGGGAATCGAATCCGGCGTCGTGTCATGGAAAGCGAGCTCGCAGACCAATGAGCTACTCGCGAGATAATAAAGTACATGTGCTTTGGAAAAATCCATGTTCTACAGTGATCTAATACAATTAGCCAACTAATACTATTAAAACCTCTGATTGAGCGCAATGCGAAGATGAAAAACAACACTAAAAAGGAGAAGAAGAAGAAGAAGAAGACTTACTCCCGCGCGCAGTGCCATTTTCCTATAGTAGCACACAAGGCCAAGGCAGTCAGGGGGGGCAGTTGACAGCACCACATAGGGTTTCTGCAGCCCACTCCAAGAGCCTGGCTGAAGCTGCCCCACTTCCCCAACTAGCAGCCACTTGTAGGATTGATGAATCAACCAAAGGCTGCTGCGCAAACCATAATACATCTCGTTTTTGGCCTTGGCTGCGAACTCGGCCTGGCCTCCACCTCTGCTCCGCTCTTCCAACACGTAGACCACAATGAAGCTGCTGCTGCCGAGGCGCTTGTGTGAGGTCCAAGTAACATGCTGGAACAGGTGTACGATGCCATTAGATTTAACTTTCGTATTTTATGTAGAAATGTAGTTGCAGAGAACCTTAGATATAGATGCATTTATTGTATTTTGACGAACGATGAAATACATGAAAATAAATTCAGGCCGTAGCAGCACTCAACCTCACCTCAGCCCAACTCACTGCGCTACACTGAAATACAAAATATATTACAAAGACCTGTAACTCCACAACATTACTCTACACGTAATAAAAATAATGTAAATACAACATGCACTATAACAAAAGGAATATAATTGTAACAATACGCAAAATAGCAGTAATAAACTATGGTGGTTTAGGAAAAAGTCTTCCGCGGGCTGTTACAATTTTTTGAGCTCAGTTCGCGATAGAAAATTTCCAAACTCCTGTTATCTATATACTTATTTGAATTTTGTGTTTTTGATATGTGATAATTATATTTGTATTATATTTGTATTTCGTTACATCCAAAGTGTGAAAGTGTTGTCTACCATACCGATTTGGCGACTCAAACTGTACGCCATATCCAATTCAAAGTGTCGTTTTTTTAATACGCTGTTGTGTTAAGAGTTCAAAGCTATTTTTTGTCTTAACTGTAAAAATTCTTTTTCATTGCCGATTATGATCACTCCATACCGTTGCGGGTCTATAATTACCCACCATACTGGTTCAAATATGTCCAATTTGTCACTAATCCATGTACGTATGTATCATAAGTGTAGGGTTGCGCAGAAAGAATAGCCTGATTTGAGTCACATAGTACAGACGCACAGTTCGCGCTTTCCTGAAATAATAATGTGGGATAAAGTGGGAAAGGACGGCAATTTTCAATTATGACCACAGTGGCCTCCAGAGCATCACTCTTTTCTGTGGATTTTTACTTTAAAAATAACTAATTTTCCATTACTGTGCAAAGAATATTTCGTCATCATTTCAGACTGAGACGCCACGACAAAGTTCCTGATCACCGAAATTGGTTCACAAAGTGAGGGAACCAATTTCGTTTCAATGCATGTAGCATTTAGATGAAAAGTCCAGGACGTTCTAGGCCACAACAAACCCCTGCGTGGGAGTTTGAATAGAGGAAGCCCGTCAAGCACTTATCCGAAATCCTCGGCGTACGGCATTGTAGTTACATCATCATCTTTAGCCATTATCACCTGGTCGTCTGCAAATAGTAGACTAAACAATGTTTCATCACCTATTTTCACACCCATGCTTCTGCACTTTCTTTTGCATTATTTTAGGGCTTTATCAATGTATATCTTAAAAAGGGTTGGTGATATACAGCAGCCTTGCTGTAAACCTTTATTTACTGGGAAGTTGTCTGATAGACATTTTCCCACTTTTATTATCTTTATAAAGTTGTTTGACTGCATTTATGTATGCTGTTGATATTCCTTTTTCTTCCATTGCCCCCAAACTTCTTTTAGTGGTACATTATCATAAGGCATTTTGAGATCAATGAAAATTATGTGAAGTTCTCTTCCTCGCTCAATTGTTATTATTAATCATTAGTTGTTTGAGACAGAAAATATTGTCAATACAGGATCTTCCTGATCTAAAACCAGTTTGCTCTTCTGAGTCTGATGTTTGCATTTCAATTCTATTCTTTAGCACACGTCCATACAGTCTAACCAAAGATGAAGTCACACTTATCCCTCTATAATTATTATAATCTTTTATACAGACTTTTTTTGTAAATTGAATTCATATAGGCTAATTTCAATATTTCAGGTATTTTACCTCTTTTTAAAATGCCATTGAATATTTCAGTAATTAATTCCAAACCTACAATAAGATAATGTTTAACTAACTCGATGGATATACCTGCAGGCCCAGGTGCTTTATTATTTTTCATGTTTCTTAAGACGTTTTTTACCCCTTCCAAAGCCACTTCTGGTGTGATCGAATTAACGTGCAGTGGTTCATAATTTATTCCCTGAAATTTAGTTCTATTTTCTGTCAAAAGATCATAGTATTTTTGCCATTTTTCAATACCAATTGGGTGTACTAAATGCCATTCTTGGGTTGTATTCAATTTCATGTAATGTTACATTTACAACGCCTCTCTGGATTTGGTGTTACCAATGTACTTGTCTAATCTGTCACATTTTTGTTCCCAGAATACATTTTTTGCCTTTACTTCTTTCTTGACAAAATATTTCATGTTATATTCATTTCTGTCTTCTAAATCCTTTGTTGAAAGCCATCTCAAATATAACTTTTTCTTTCCTTCCAACTTTGTATCTTCTATCTACTTTTTGTTTATATTCACATTTTACCTTGTCTCCCAAAGCTTCTTTAGCTGCTTCATGAGTACATTTTTCTAAGAATTTGTATTTGTCGTCAGTTTTTTATATTGGGATGTACATTAATTTTTCTGCTATGCGCAATTTGTACAAAAAAGCAACGGAATCATCTTACAGGCTTTCAATATTGTATTTCAGCTACATCTGGCTATTTTCCCACCTTTTATATTTGGATTGGTGTTTACGTAACTTTTGAAGTAAGGTATATACTCAAGGTATGCTTTTCCTTTTATTTAATCATTTTGTAACATTTCTGCTGCAAAGTTGCAAGTTGAAATAATAATTCAAAGAATTCAGAAGCAAACATTAATGAAGGTATTCATAAAAGTAGTTTTCTGACAACGTGCATCGACTCACGTCGTCAACGAACAATATAAAAGAAGAATTAACTGTCATATTCAAAAAGCATAGTTTTTTCGACATATTTAACAAATTCCGCGGCGCAACGTCGACACCTATGGCCGCCGTATTTGCGTTTTGCTCTTCCCCATAACACTGCCTAATTTCTCAACATGTTTTAACTTTGAGCTTATCATTGGTGAAATTTTTTGCTGGTTCCCGGTCGAATACTTCATTTAGACGAGGATATTTGGATATACGCGTAAAGTTGTGAAAATCGATAACACAATAAAACTATCGTAATTTCATTGAAAACTTAGGATCACAAACCATTATTATTTCCTCTGGATATCTCAAGTCTTCCTTTAGGAATTCGTCGACCCGGGTGACGCGTCGGGCGGCGATGACGTAGCCGTGGGCGGTGGTGAGCCAGTCGGGCGCGGAGTGGGGGGCGGGGCTGGGCGGCGCGCGCCACACCAGGAGGGTTTCCTGAGCGCGTGGGTGCAGCGCCTTCAACCACCGCTCGCCCACGCCCACACTCACACCTTTCTCCTCGCCCTCGCCCGCGCCCAGGTCCACGACG